TTCCTATAAAATGAATAATGCAAGTAAAGGTAGAGTGAATCCTAAATTTAGATAAACGGCGAAAAATATAAAAAACGAATTCACTTAGCACACATGCACCTTAATAACAATAAAGCTTCATATAAAGCCTTAAATAGGCAATGTAACCTTTTCCTAGAGCAATAGGGTTTGCCGGAATGGACCGCATCCTCCTCCCTTAGCCCAGCACTTTGTAATGAGTAGAAATCCAAACCCCAGTTATTCTCAGCTTACTTAACATAATTTAGAAATATTGGGTAGAGGCGACATCAGCTAAGAATAGGCACCGGACCACACAACAGTATAAGAATATGAGGCTACCTGTTTGATTAAGGCTGTTACACCTAGGCTTTCAGAGTGTAGTTCCACCGGAATGTAACGGTCTAGATTTGCTAAAAAGTCCGATCAAGAGCTTAGGTAAAAAAGAAGATTGAATGCTGAAGGAAGATGAAAAAATCCAAGTTGGTCCGGACAATTACCGGGCCATTGAACAAATAATTAGAATAAAGTATTGTCAGATTATCTAGAGTTTTATAATTACGAGTTTAAGAGTCCGCTAACTGAACCATGGGGAGAGTTTTGAAGTTCGAAATCGTAACTCAAGAGAAGCACAACTAGCCATATAGTTATCTGGAATTGATGTGATTTTGATGAAATGCATGTGGGAAAGATAGCAATAAATAAACCTTATTTTGCGGCACATGAATCGCCTCCGGGTGTAATCGTAAAAACAAAAATCAAAAAGCCCTCACAGAAATAACCAAAACGAGGTTAGAAGTTACCCCTCTAACCAAATCATTAGAAAATAGCCACTCGAGAAACCACTATTGTCGAGTGGTCTCGTTGATAGGCCACGAAATCTAGTAAACTACTGGCATACATACCAAGATAGCATAGATACCAAGCAAGTAAAATAAATCAATTAATGAAAAAATTAAAATATAAACCGAATATATCTTCAAAAGGAACGACGAGAATATTAGTGTGTCAGTTTTTTGTATGCATCTGCGAGTGTGTGCTTGAGGGCGCAATGAAAAGGATAAAACAATAGTATCATATCTAGACAAATTTCAAAAAACAGGACGCTGAATTGGTGCAAATATGGTACTGAAAAAATCGGTTAGTGTATTCTTATGGAAAAAGATGAGTAGTGAGAAAAAAACGATTAGTGGCCTCCAAAG